CACACACACACACACACACACACACACATACATGTACAGTATATTATCCTGACAGGTGAAGTGGTGGGTAACTGCATTCTGGTTCCCACAAAGTTGTTAAATATGCGATATTTGTCAGCTTCTGCTTTATAAATGGTCAAAAGGTGTATGTATATGCCCACACATACGACTAAGGTTAATTTAAAATCTCCAATTAAYCTAACACGTMTGTTTTTGAACTGTAAGGAAAYYGAGGTACTCGTAACAAATTGGCGCATTAAAGCACAAAACAGTTTTACAGCACCAGTTGGGCTAATTTAAACACATAAAAACCTGCCCAACAAGCACCAGGCCTGCCACAGGTTATTGCCACAGAAGAACTTGCTCTGAAAAGACACCGCGAGGAGATCTGGGGAACGTAAAGTGGCAGAAGGTGGTGAGAGCGATGACTAAAATACGAGAAGAATGTGCGAAGGAAGGAATGCAAAAAAAAGTGGTAATGAGAAACAGGAGAGCGGCGAAGTGTAAATGAGTAGTAGAGAAGTCCTAAAAGTCATGTGGTGCGTAGAAAGAAGAACGTTAAAGCATGTTCAAATTATCAACGGTGAAACTGCTTCCATGTGGCCGTATGTTCCCTGTTAGATCTCGGTGAGGAAGGTTACGAAGAACAGCCAGAGAGGATGAAATTACACCTCAGAAGCCTGTGAAGTCCTTGTATCTGGGTGCTTCTCAATCTGTCAAACCTCCTGCTCTACTTATGGCACCTTTCTATAAACGCAGAGGTCCCAAAACAACGTTGTTCTATCAGAGCGGYGAGAGCTCAGATGGGACCGTGTTTRAAAGCTTGTAGAACATCTGGAGATGATCAAGAGATCGAAATCCTTCTTTTTTGGGCCCTAACTACTCAAATGTAMGTTCCAGGTTAGGTCAGTGTAAAATCAGCCGCTGCCGCTGCAACACAAGCTCATCTCATAAAGCAGCCTGATTGTTTAACATGGTTTTGTTTTTTTGTTTTTGTTTTTTTAACTGGACATTTTATTCTAATCACTGAGAYGTTTCCCTGCGTTCCTCTGCAGAACACAGATGACAGAGGGGATGCTAATACAGGATGACACGTGGACGTCTGACTTGTAAACGATGTATAAATGAGTGTCAAGATGATGAACGGCTCTTCCGGGACCTTYGGTGGCCCTTTGATCTGCAGCGCAGCACTCTGTGAGAATATTGTCTGAAGCATCAGCCTCCCAGCGTTACGGCTGCCTTATTTATTGACAGGATGCATCAGCACATCTGTGCAGGTGACAGCCATGATTGTTGAACGTTTTTTTTTTTTTTTCTCTAGGATAAATCTTAGTGAAGGGATTTGCTACTGAGGTTCAATCATATCCATTTACCACTGTTTTGTTCGACTCGGATCGTTTTCAAAACAGCTGTGGCAACTTCAAAAATGTTTTAATGGGGTGGCCATGTGGGGGGCTCACTGAAAATCCTGGAGTGGCAACAAAAACAAAACTCAGAGTAGAATTTAAAGAGGTTAGTTAAATACAGCAATACGAGAGTTACAGAATCCCCCTAATACAGGGCTATTCAACTGGAGGCCCGCGGGCCGGATGTGGCCCGTGAGTGACCAAAATTCGGCCCACCAATTGTTTCATTCATCTCTTAAGCTCAAACCCCCAGTTTTCTACTTTAATTACTTTAAGTTCTTTTAGTTACACATAGACATGTCTGATATCTACAGAACCGTCAGAGTCTTGGCTACAAGCTGGTAAAACCCTTTCTATGCACACTAAAGAAAATGACAAGCAGTAGAAGATAAAACTATGAAAGTGAAAATAAAATTGGTTTAAAAATTTGGCAAGTCAGAGATGTCAAAATAATATTTGTGTTAAATAGGGTGTATAATGTGTTCTTTTTGTTTTTGATATTGTTTATTCATCGCTACTTTTATAGGGTTCTGTATGTTGTAATCATGATTAAATGCAGCAAAATAAACTATTAAGGTAACAGATCTTTGTAATAGTTGGTTTATTTACATAATAAATTTAATTGCTGGATGTTCGGCCCCTAAGCTGTTGACCTGCATTAACTGTGGCCCCCGGAGCAGTTTAGTTGAATAGCTCCGCCCTAATACATAAGTCTACTTTTTTTTTGGGGTGGGGGGGGTCTTACAGTTTTTATAGCTTACTGAGATAAACACTAACTATTCAATGTATTCAAGGTTGCCCCCTTCAAAATAGATACCATAACCTGCATAGACAATGTAGGTGACCTCATTCAGGGGGACTATGTTTTTTTTTTCAATTCACAATTGCAAAAAAAAAGTTTGTTTTATGCCTGTAAGGTTTCAAGTAAAGTACAAATACTTTGTTACTTTAAGTAAAAACTTTGGTTATCTATAATTTACTGGAGTATTTTTCAGCCCATTCTACTATTTTCATGCAATTATTTGTATTTTTTACTCCTTTTTCCTCGTTTTAAAAAGTGAGGAAATAAAACCCTACCATGCTTTGTTCGACACAGAGTGAATTTAATTGTGTTTAGATGTTTAACATTCTGACACCCTATTGGTACGACCCTGCACCTTTATGACACAAATCATGTCACTCCAGCWGARGCCATGACTGCAGCTGAAACAGGTTAAAACAGTGCATCCCAAATGTTTCAATATAACATGATAGACTATTCATTATAACCTTAAGAATTGTTTTAGAGCACAATGAATTGTTTTTAACTTTTACTTTTAAAACTTTTAAAACTTGAAGCTTGAGTTGATACTCCCAGCTTTTACAGATTTCAAACCCTAGTATTTATACTTCAACCTGAGTACTGACATAATGCTTGACACCTCTGCTTATGCAACCCATTCTCACTCCCAAGTCGTCAGAATGTGTAGGCTTATGAGGTTCCTTAATTAACCAAAGGAAATAAAAAATGAACACCAAGAGGGACTCAAAAGGATAAAACTTGTCTGGTTAAGAAGATGGAGATTCAAACTTTTTTAGGGGTGGCCAAAATGATTTAAAACAAGTACAAAACAAAATGTCTTATTTACAACTAAGGTTTATGACTTTRAAAGTCTTTAGAGTTTTGATCTTGTTTTATGTAGCCTGCTGTTCTCTGAACAAGAGATTTTTACATCTCAGGAGTCAAAATGATAATAAAATACTTATTAGACGGTGTTTGGAAAACTGGGAGTCAAGTGTTTTCTTGCGTGTTTTTGAAGTTTGATCACAAAAAATAGTTCCTGTTTTTTATTTTTGTATTTATTTCTTTAATTTTTTTCTACCTCCAGTTTTCAAGTCAAAGATGTGCGCGTGTTGCCCACCTGTACCACTCCAGGCCCTTGTCATAGAACCTGTCGAAGAAGTGCGGCTCKGCACCGAACGCCCTGACGTCCGGGTGGATGCGCAGGAACTCCAGCAGGGCGCGCGTGCCTCCTTTCTTCACGCCGATGATGATGGCCTGCGGAAGTTTTTTCGTCCCGAAGGTGTTGGACACGGGGATGCCGTGTCTGTCCGTGTCGCTCTGGGGAGTCAGGAGCTGCGGGTCCGCGTCCACCTGCTGCCGCTGCGCGTCCTCGGACTCCKTGCGGTTCGGGTGATGATGGGTCGGGGGCGTCCGCAGCTCCTCCGACACGTCATAGTCCCCGTCCGAAGCCCTCTGGCTGTAGAAGGTCCTCGGAGCCGAGTCGCAGAGTCCCGCGAGGCAGTAGAAGAAGTAGGTGAAGATCAGGACCATGGTAAAGAACACGGAGACTTTGGAGAGCACCTTCCCGGAGTTGAGCCCGACTCTGCAGCCGCTACATCCCATGAGTTGATCTCCTGCTCAACGCCAAAGGACCAGAACGGTGTCAACATGCTTCTTCCTCCTACATGGAGTCAAACCTACTGCGTAAATGTGAGGATTTATGCAGCGCTTCTGTCAGGGTTTGTCCAGTCCTAATGACTCCTTCTGAACATGCTGAGACCTTCCAGCCTCTGTGCGCTCTGAGGTGTCCTCTCCTCTCATCTCCTCCTCTTTTCAACTTCTGCACACCCACCCATCCACCAGCTGCAGTCTCCACCCTGCACTCCCCATGTCTCATACTGAAAGTTGATCTGAAACTTAATGTTGCATTAAAATTACACATTTAATGATTGTAGTCTGCATTAAAAATGTAAATAATTTCGTTTATTTTTGTAATTTGTGCACAAAGTGTTTGACGGAGCGATAGGCCTACAAAAAATAAAAGCCAAAAAAACCTTAAAGTGTCATTTTATTAAAGACATGCCATAATGTTTTTGCCGGCCGGGGTCTGTCTGTTAGAAAATATCATGAACCACTGTTCAGATTTAATGAAATCCTCAGAATGTCCATCTGCCACTGATTTACTTCAAGCCAATTCAAGATGGCTGCCATAATGGACCTAAACCTGGGGTTTTAATCCCATTTTACTGAGGGACAGCGTTAATGTCCTCAATGAGAGATTTTCATGTTTAACTTGGACCAAAATCTAAACGTCACGTTCCTCATCTCTTACAACGGAGTATCCCATGAGCTGTGGTTCCACATTGAATTCAGAACTCTCCCACTTTCTGACAGGGAATTCCCTTTAGTTCCAGTTTAAATTCAAAACTTGTATTTGGGAAATTCCCACTTCCCAACTGGGCCAGCGAGAGYGAAAATTCAGAAAAATTGACMTTTTTTACWACAAATTTTGTCGAYTAAGGGCTWCTGATAAGATAAGATAAGATAAGATAAGATAAGATAAGATAAGATAAGATAAGATAAACCTTTATTGTCATTGTACAGAGCACAATGAAATTACAGTTCAGAACACCCAGAAGCCTGTGCTCTGCAAATGCTGTCATTTTGCGCGTAAATTAATCGACATGCATAATGGTTGATGCAGTTTATGGTCAATGCTGGATTTATACACTTATTTTAAGACAGTAATAYATCTTTGAAGCTCTTGCGGGCCACATAAAATGATGAGGCTGGCCACATTTGGCCCATTGACCTTGAGTTTGACACATRACAAATGGTCACAACCTTGGTTGAAAAGTCAATCATGAAAGGCGGTGAGAAATATGCATCCCTTGAAGGAATGATTTAGTTTGATATATATACAGTATATCCCACATAAACTATCTTTAATTGGCACCAAGAACAACGGATTATCTGAGATTCAACAAACAATTCAACAACAACACTTGGGCAACAGGTTTTCCCAGCCAAACTCTAAAAAGTTAAAGCCAGCGGTGGCTCGTGTTGCTCTGTCACTGTTTCATYCAGCAGGACAGGTTGGGTTGGTGGGACAGCGGGTGGGATCAGATCGTTCCCCTGACTCACTGTGTAACACTGCAGCAGGTATTGAGTTTCTTTTGACAGTTAGATGAAGTTCAGACTTTGAACTGACTGAGGCAGTCTGTTTAAAAGGATGAGAGGATAAAAAAAACGAGGGTGGAGAGATATAATCTGTTTGAACACACTCTCAGCCCCCGGAGCTACTTCAGACAAAGATAAAGAATCCTTAATCTTATTGTATRTTTCAGAGGCGACTGTTTAAGTTCTTGATTCAGGTGCATTTATTAATAAAATAACAGAATGCAGATTGGCTGGCTTTAAAAATATACTTACAGGAAAAGTTTAAGCACACTGACTTGGCAGAAATGCAACAAAATGAGCTAAATTTTGATTATTCACTTTTCTTTTCCGTTTACAAAAATTCACAGTTCACTTTTGCAGATATTAGTGCAAGGTTAAAAAACTTAGAATTGACAAAAGTGTTGATAGTACTGTTTAAGAAATAATGAAAAAAATGAATTTACAAAAATATTGTAAACAATGTAAACATGCGTTTTGCAGCTTCAACTTTAAGATATTGTTTTCTGAGTTTGTTTATGTACTGCTTTTATTAATGTTTTTGTGTCATAATTTTAACTTTGCTCATTTTAAAATCTTAGCAGCAACATTTCTGTCAGGTCAAAGGTGATTCATTTATCAAAACTCTTCGGGAAAAGTTTCAGCCCAAATTGTCCCAAACCATGAAACTAACACCAAATTTCATTTATTAGTTAAAGTTTTTAAAGGGGGATATGTGTTTTCCAGCATATAGTTCAATTCTATGCCACCTTCCGTTGTGATGAAAATGCTGTATATATTAAAAATAAATTAGACTTTGCGTCTTTGAAATTGGCCTCTGCCTCTTTAASAACCTCCTACCGTTTGACACTCCCACTTCAGCATGTTGTCACAACAGTTCTTCAGGGGAGGGGGCTCTGTGGGGCCAGAGCTCAGCTAGAGACTGAGCTYCAGGGAGGGGCTTTGTCTAAATAGGCGGTGTTTTGTACTAGCAAGTGTTTAGGCAGCTCCACAGGAGATTCAAGGATTTCTCAAACATGCATGAATGAGTCAAAGCAACACTCTGAGTACGTTTTTGATGACGTAATCACATTATAACATGATATAAAGCTGCATAGTACTCCCCCACCCCATAAAAATAAGATGTTTTTTATTTAATTTAATTTTAGTTTTGTTTTTGATGCTGGTTAAATTATTTTGTTGCGGTTTTTCTAATCCAAAATCCCCCTGGACAACAGGAGTTCCTCCCCTTCTGATGAATTCACGCTAAATTTAACAACAAATTGAACTTAATTAAACATTAAAGTAATTGTTCGTATTTTCTTAAATGAAGTTCTGTGGAAATATTCTGAATAATTAAGCCTCCAACAACCTGAAGACGCAGGTGTTTTCTCAATCACACATATGTAATGCTGAATTCAAGCCCAAATATATTTAAGTGCCATTTTTGGTGGGCTGTAATTGTGGATGGTGAGTTAATTAAAGGGAAAATTCCATCGATTTTCACGAATTTTCAAAAACCCACGATGACCCAGAGTGAAAGTACTGTTTTTCACTTCAGGCTCTGAACAAACTAAACAAGCAAAGACATAAGAATGTTAATTAGTGAGCTTTAGAGCTCCTGGTAGGTGGATTATGTTACTTTGGAACTGAGGCCGTGTTGCTGTTTCTCTGTTTTTAGCAGAAAAATCTCACAGATATGGGAGAGAATCAAATCTCTGTTTCTAAAGCTGAAGAAACACAAACCTTTTTGCCTCCAGGAATATATAAAGTTTGGATGATAAACATTTTAAAGCCAGTGATTGTGGTTTCGTCTTCCTGCTCTAACAAAGCCGTCTCTGGATTCTTACAGGCAAATATAGAATAATGATATGTTTTGAAAGACAAACAGCTTTTGTAAATATCCTGGAACAGAATGGCAATAAAGAATTCACAACTCTGGTGAGAATGGGGTCAAGGAATGTTGGAATTGCGATTTYGGGTTCAAACCTTGAAATATAAAGTAGCGAAGAAACAAACGTGACCTACAAGCTGTGACTTGAGTGTGTTTAGCTGTTGCCCACAGTCATGTGGCTTTCATGCCTCCATGTGTGCAGACCAGACCATGTTTCCAACTGTTTCAGCCCGCAGGTATGTTCTGCTGTTGCATCTCTCTGCGTGCGCCACAGATAGAGGTTTACATCACCTGAGGCCTGCTGACGGTGTGTAACGTGTGTCAGTTATTACAGCAAATTACAAACCCTGATTCTGAAATCTCTTGAACGAGGACGGAATCGTCACGCAGAACTCTTCGATACGTCACAGCTGCACTTTCCCACAAGCTGATGCGTTTTATCAGTGGTGGGCAGAGCTAACTAAAATATTAGCTTCACTCTCCACTAATGTGGTAAACAAGAATCTTCCTCTAACACTAAACCGTTGAACAGATTAGAGGAAGCTAACCACTAAGATTGATAGTGGGACTGAAGCAATTTGATTTTTTTATTGGTTTAATTTAAAGGTGGCTGGGATCATCTGTGGCAAATCAGCCAATCCAAACCAGAGTTATAGCTCTAAACTTGTGATCCTTCTAGTTTAACCCTTTCAGAATAAAAGCACATCTTTGATCAAGTTTTACATTTTTATAAATATTGTTGGAATGTGGTCAATTAACAAATAGCAAATACATGCTCCATTATTTATTATACTAGTCATTTTTTGTATTTGTTATTTAAATATTGTTAATTTTTCCTTTTTTTGACACTCATAGTTTGAAGTTTAGCAGCTAAAGGTGCTATATACACATATGGTGCTTGATAGTTTTTTATTTATTTTGGCATAAATGGCCTAAAAATAGAAGTTTTTTTCTTAAGATTTTTTTGGCTTAAAATTCTTTAACGCCAATTTAGTGGAAGCTAATCAGTCCACTAACTGTTCCTAAAGTTAGCAAAAGGCTAATCCACTATGTGAAGCTAGTCCCACCATTAGCACTTGAGCAGAATTGTGCCCACCACTGCTTTTTATCATTGTCCACCACAGAATGATCCATTGTGTACATGTCTGTTAGCAAAATATCTCATGAACCACTGGCAGATTTACTTTTGGTGTTAACCCAGTTCGATATGGCTGCCACAGCTGATCAGCTTTAGCCAACACAAACATGGTTGAAACCTAATCAATTTTATGGACATTGTGATGAATGTTGGTGTGGTAGTAGCTAAATGTCATCCGCAATACATACTCTGAACGTTAACAAATCGAACATAATCTTGCAATATCCTTTGAGCTTGGACATAACATTATTTTCTAAATTCGATAATTTCTCAACATAAAATTAACTTAGTTTAAACTAGCTGGAGTCTGATAAACAAACTCGTATCACTTTTAATAATTTTCCGTTTGGATATTAATTAGTTACTTTCCCAACTTCAAAAGACCTGAGCTATTGCCTGAAGGATGTCCTGCAGGCAGTGACAATCTCAAAAAGTCAGAACAAAGGAGCCACCACCATTCCCAACATTTATCTGCAAACGTGCACAAAGTCAGTAAGAATGAGCAAATGAGTGATAGACGGAAGGCCAAACTAAATCACTCTGATCTTTTCATTCACAGGCAACCCACCATCACCCACACCCTTCCTCATCTGCCCCACCACCTTCACACAGGTGTACTGGAGTTTCCAGACTCCAAACGTCCCCCCGCAGCCTTATTGAGACATCGCTGAGTGGATCAGTGCAGCACAGATCAGAGAGAGGAGGAGGTGTTCAAAGGTTACGCAACACCCTCAGAGGCCTTCAAAGCAGATCAAGCCTCAGAGTTCAACATGGAAACCTTTTATAGTTGAGGAATAACTCACTGGCCTTCATTCCAAATTTACTAGCCCAAACCAGCAGGTTTAATTCTGTATGGGTC